AAAATAAACTATTGGAAAACTGCAGCAATCCCAAAGATGAATGGCAACAGTATACTGAAATCCAAGAGATAATCAAGAGAATACAACAACTAGAAGCACCCCTGCAGCGTAAACGTAAGGATGCTAATATCCAAGATCGTTTGGCCAATATAGAGACATTCTATCAGTGGGTCAAGGACAATGGTGCCCATTACGATGGCCTGGCGATACAAAAGTTTGATGACTATGATTTGGGTTTAGTGGCCACACGTGATATTAAAAAAGATGATTTAATCTTTAGTATTCCCCGCCAACTTATTATGTCCGAAGAAAATTTGCAAAATGATAATGTTAAAACTAATTTTAGACTCTCTAATATGCGTTTAGCTTTTACTCTCATGGAAGAGTATTTAAAACCGGATTCTTTTTGGAAACCTTATATCGATTTACTGCCTGAAAGTTATAGTACGGTTTTGTACTATACCGTTGAGGATATGTCAGAGCTGAAGGGCTCTAATGCTTTGTCTACAGCTTTAAAATTGTGCCAAATTATTGTTCGTTTTTATGTAAATATTTATAGTTGGCCCGATAGTGCCATACCGATCAAGGGTTTTAAAGATGTTTTTCATTACGATTTGATAAGGTGAGTAGGAAATACATAGTATTAATAGTATTAAAATATGGGCAGTAATTTACTTTATATAGTCTTCCTGTCACTTAACTAGAACTGAACTAGAACTGAACTAGAACTGAACTAGAACTGAACTAGAACTGAACTAGAACTGAACTAGAACTGCACTAGAACTGAACTAGATCTGAACAAGATCTGAACTAGAACTGAACTAGAACTGAACTAGAACTGAACTAGAACTGAACTAGAACTGAACTAGAACTGAACTAGAACTGAACTAGAACTGAACTAGAACTGAACTAGAACTGAACTAGAACTGAACTAGAACTGAACTAGAACTGAACTAAAACTGAACTAGAACTGAACTAGAACTGAACTAGAACTGAACTAGAACTGAACTAGAACTGAACTAGAACTGAACTAGAACTGAACTAGAACTGAACTAGAACTGAACTAGAACTGAACTAGAACTGAACTAGAACTGAACTAGGACTGAACTAGAACTGAACTAGAACTGAACCAGAACTGAACCAGAACTGAACTAGAACTAAACTAGAACTGAACTAGAACTGAACTAGAACTAAACTAGAACTGAACTAGAACTGAACTAGAACTGAACTAGAACTGAACTAGAACCTGAACTAGAACTGAACTAGAAACTGAACTAGAACTGAACTAGAACTGAACTAGAACTGAACATAGAACTGAACTAGAACTGAACTAGAACTGAACTAGAAACTGAACTAGAACTGAACTAGAACTGAACTAGAACTGAACTAGAACTGAACTAGAACTGAACTAGAACTGAACTAGAACTGAACTAGAACTGAACTAGAACTGAACTAGAACTGAACTAGAACTGAACTAGAACTGAACTAGAACTGAACTAGAACTGAACTAGAACTGAACTAGAACTGAACTAGAACTGAACTAGAACTGAACTAGAAACTGAACTAGAACTGAACTAGAACTGAACTAGAAGGAACTAGAACTGAACTAGAAACTGAACTAGAACTGAACTAGAACTGAACTAACTCGACGAGACTGAACTAGAACTGAACTAGAAACTGAACTAGAACTGAACTAGAACTGAACTAGAACTGAACTAGAACTGAACTAGAACTGAACTAGAACTGAACTAGAACTGAACTAGAACTGAACTAGAACTGAACTAGAACTGAACTAGAACTGAACTAAACTGAACTAGAACTGACTAGAACTGAACTAGAACTGAACTAGAAACTGAACTAGAACTGAACTAGAACTGAACTAGAACTGAACTAGAACTGAACTAGAACTGAACTAGAACTGAACTAGACTACTAGAACTGAACTAGAACTGAACTAGAACTGAACTAGAACTGAACTAGAACTGAACTAGAACTGAACTAAACTGAACTAGAACTGAACTTGAACTGAACTAGAACTGAACTAGGACTGAACTAGAACTGGACTAGAACTGAACTAGAACTGAACTAGAACTGAACTAGAACTGAACTAGAACTGAACTAGAACTGAACTAGAACTGAATTAGAACTGAATTAGAACTGAACTAGAACTAGAACTGAACTAGAACTGAACTAGAACTCTATTAAAACTGTATTAAAACTTTCAAATTTGTATCGATTCCTATTAAGAACAACATTATCCTTTTTTATAATTTTTTTATTTAAAATTTTCCATTTTTTGTTTTAAATCTACATTAAATGTAATCATAAGTGTAATACATATTTTATTAATATAATTTTACTTTATTTATATTTGTTTATTTTTTCTTTCGTTTACTCATAATGGTTTAATATTTCATTGTTTTTGTTGCTGTTTTCTATATAATTTTGTTTGTCTAAAAATTACAATTAATTAAAGTTTACAATTGTTTTGTTATTTATTGAACAAAAACATAACAATTAATATAAATAAATAATTAAAATAAATAACATTTGATAACTGTTTAGTAACTAAAAACTAAGGAATTAAATTACACAGTTTTTAATGTTTAAGAGCAATATATTTGCATATGTTATATTTAATTCTCAATAGTATTTAGTTGCTAAACGGTTATTGTTTATTAAATTGTAAAACCTTAAGTTGAAAATGTAAATTTTATATATATTGTTTTATAATAATTTGTAATTAATTTTCATTTATTTTTTTTGTGTTAATTTTTTACAATTTTCGATAGATTATTGTCTCGAAAAACATTTCTTTTTGCAAATAATGTTTTGTGTATTTTGGAAGTGTTGATGTTTTTTATATAATTCACCAGACAAACACAAAAACCAACTTTTAAAGAAAAAATATGTTTTGAAATGTTTCTAAAGTATTTGTTAAATTTTGAGTAATTTTAAATCACTTTATGTTGAAGATTAAACCTTCGTCTTTACCTGGTTGATTAATAATAATTTATTTATTTTAAAATTCAAACATATTTTCAATTAAATTAAAGTGTGCGTTATGTGTTTTGTTTGTTTAATTTTCTTTTGGAAACCCCTTTATTTATAATTTTTATAGATTTTATTAAATTTTTTCATTAGTTTTTTTCAAATAACATCATAAAATTAAGAAAACAGAACTAGAACAGAACTAGAACAGAACTAGAACAGAACTAGAACAAACTAGAACAGAACTAGAACAGAAACTAGAACAGAACTAGAACAGAACTAGAATAGAACTAGAACAGAACTAGAACAGAAACTAGAACAGAACTAGAACAGACTAGAACAGAACTAGAACAGAACTTGAACAGAACTAGAACAGAACTAGAACAGAAACTAGAACAGAACTAGAACAGAACTAGAACAGAACTAGAACAGAACTAGAACAGAACTAGAACAGAACTAGAACAGAACTAGAACAGAACTGAACAGAACTAGAACAGAACTAGAACAGAACTAGAAACTAGAACTAGAAATAGAACAGAACTAGAACAGAACTAGAAACAGAACTAGAACAGAACTAGAACAGAACACTAGAACAGAACTAGAAAACAGAACAGAACTAGAACAGAACTAGATCAAAACTAGAAACTAGAACAACTAGAACAGAACTAGAACAGAACTAGAACAGAACTAGAACAGAACTAGAACAGAACTAGAACAGAACTAGAACAGAACTAGAACAGAACTAGAACAGAACTAGAACAGAACTAGAACAGAACTAGAACAGAACTAGAACAGAACTAGAACAGAACTAGAACAGAACTAGAACAGAACTAGAACAGAACTAGAACAGAACTAGAACAGAAACTAGAACAGAACTAGAACAGAACTAGAACAGAACTAGAACAGAACTAGAACAGAACTAGAACAGAACTAGAACAGAACTAGAACAGAACTAGAACAGAACTAGAACAGAACTAGAACAGAACTAGAACAGAACTAGAAACTAGAACAGAACTAGAACAGAACTAGAACAGAACTAGAACAGAACTAGAACAGAACTAGAACAGAACTAGAACAGAACTAGAACAGAACTAGAACAGAACTAGAACAGAACTAGAACAGAACTAGAACAGAACTAGAACAGAACTAGAACAGAACTAGAACAGAACTAGAACAGAACTAGAACAGACTAGAAAGAACTAGAACAAAACTAGAACAGAACTAGAACAGAAACTAGAACAGAACTAGAACAGAACTAGAACAGAACTAGAACAGAAACTAGAACAGAAACTAGAAACAGAACTAGAACAGAACTAGAACAGAACTAACAGAACTAGAACAAACTAGACAGAACTAGAACAGAACTAGAACAGAACTAGAACAGAACTAGAACAGAACTAGAAAGAACTAGAACAGAACTAGAAACAGAACTAGAAAGAACTTGAACAGAACTAGAACAGAACTAGAACAGAACTAGAACAGAACTAGAACAGAACTAGAACAGAACTAGAACAGAACTAGAACAGAACTAGAACAGAACTAGAACAGAACTAGAACAGAACTAGAACAGAACTAGAACACAACTAGAACAGAACTAGAACACAGAACTAGAACTAGAACAGAACTAGAGAACTAGAGCAGAACTAGAACAGAACTAGAACAGAACTAGAACAGAACTAGAACAGAACTAGAACAGAACTAGAACAGAACTAGAACAGAACTAGAACCGAACTAGAACAGAACTAGAACAGAACTAGAACAGAACTAGAACAGAACTAGAACAGAACTAGAACAGAACTAGAACAGAACTAGAACAGAACTAGAACAGAACTAGAACAGAACTAGAACAGAACTAGAACAGAACTAGAACAGAACTAGAACAGAACTAGAACAGAACTAGAACAGAACTAGAACAGAACTAGAACAGAACTAGAACAGAACTAGAACAGAACTAGAACAGAACTAGAAACAGAACTAGAACAGAACTAGAATAGAACTAGAACAGCACTAGTACACTTTTTGCTTATCATGATGTTATTTTAGATTATTTTAAGCATTCGCCTTATCGACTGTTTCTCTTTTATCCTTTTGCTTTCTCTTAATTTAATTTGCTAAAGTTTGTGTTTTTTTAATTAAGAAAAATACCACAGAAAACAATTCTCTTTATTTCCTCATCACATTCGTTTAAAAAAAAACTTTAAATCATTTTAATATGAATTTCTTAAAGTATCAAATAAATATTCTTGCACTTCGGGTGAATTGGCATCCATGGTGTTTATGTGGGAGTTGGAAATATTATGACCACTCGTCAGCGAAAAACTTAATGAGGTGGTAGAGCCGTTCATCTTATTGTTACGTTTAAGATCCAACAAATTACAGCCACTTAAAATGGACAGATTTGTGGGTTTATCGTTGTTACTGTTACTGAGTTGGTTATGTGATGAGTTAGTGTGGTTTTGGTTAAATGAACGCTGAAATAATAATGAACTTTGTCGTTGTAATGGCCTCAGGCCACAGCTGCTGTTGCTGTTATTACTAGAGTTGTTATTGCTATTGCTGTTGTTAGTTTGGTGGTTGTAAAAGTTGTTGATGTTTTTACTGCAATTACCGGCCAACATTGTTGTTGCTTGGGAGGAGTTTGTAAGTTGTGGTGAGGGTGTTAAATTGTGATGCTGATGATGTATGGGTGTATTTGGCACTCCGCTGGAGGTGGTGGTTATGGTGGCTGCTACCGATAAACCACTACCCCCTAATAAATCTTGCATTTCTCTTAATGAAGAACGTCTGGAATTGGGATTTGTGCTGCTATTAGTACTTGCCACTGCAGCACCCGTTGCTGTTGTAGCTATAGTGGGTAATTTACTTTTCATGGCATTATAAGATTTCATAATATTCGACATACGATGTCTACGTTGTTTCCATTTGCAAACGGCAAATATTACCATAAAAGTTACCAAAGCTGTTAAGACTATAGTGGCACTAGCCACTATGGCGGACTTAATGCCCGGTGGCATATTGGTATAAAAACTACCATGTCTATGACTGTGAGCTAAAGCCCCAGGTGCTTGTGGTCTTCTTTTAAAACCATGACCCGATAATTCAAGATCAACTAAATCATGGGCTCTGGCCACTTCATTTTCTATAGCTTCTGCTGTTTGTTCGGGCAAGCGTACTGCCGCTTGTATGGGATTTTGTGCCTGATAATCGTCTTCATTGTCTTCCTCATCATGAGCCATAAGAGTAAGTTCATTTTCTTTTATATCATATAAATCTTCATCGTCATCTGCCTCATTTTCGTCATTATTAGAATTGTTTTCGAGTAGCATTTTTGGTTGCTGCAAATAGTAGGGGTTTCTGTTGGCGTTACGCTTATTGTCAGCATCTTTATTATTTTTATTACTGTTGCCTAAAGAGGCTAACGCTAAAGTTTTCCAAGAGGGGAAGAAACCTAAAGACTTTTCTGAACGATCTGGCAGTAGAGAAGCTAAAAAGGAGAACAAATAAATAAAAAAAGCAATGAATTAAAGAGTAAAAGAAATTGGAAATTTATTTCTAGTTCAGTTCTAGTTCTGTTCTAGTTCAGTACTAGTTCAGTTCTAGTTCAGTTCTAGTTCAGTTCTAGTTCAGTTCTAGTTCAGTTCTATTCAGTTGTAGTTCAGTTTCTAGTCCAGTTCTAGTTCAGTTCTAGTTCAGTTCTAGTTCAGTTCTAGTTCAGTTCTAGTTCAGTTCTAGTTCAGTTCTAGTTCAGTTCTAGTTCAGTTCTAGTTCAGTTCTAGTTCAGTTCTAGTTTCAGTTCTAGTTCAGTTCTAGTTCAGTTCTAGTTCAGTTCTAGTTCAGTTCTAGTTCAGTTCTAGTTCAGTTCTAGTTCTGTTCTAGTTCTGTTCTAGTTCTGTTCTAGTTCTGTTCTAGTTCTGTTCTAGTTCTGTTCTAGTTCTGTTCTAGTTCTGTTCTAGTTCTGTTCTAGTTCAGTTCTAGTCAGTTCTAGTTCAGTTCTATTTCAGTTCTAGTTCAGTCTAGTTCAGTTCTAGTTCTAGTTCAGTTCTAGTTCAGTTCTAGTTCAGTTCTAGTTCAGTTCTAGTTCAGTTCTAGTTCAGTTCTAGTTCAGTTCTAGTTCAGTTCTAGTTCAAGTCAGTTCAGTTCTAGTTCAGTTCTAGTTCAGTTCTAGTTCAGTTCTAGTTCAGTTCTAGTTCAGTTCTAGTTCAGTTCTAGTTCAGTTCTAGTTCAGTTCTAGTTCAGTTCTAGTTCAGTTCTAGTTCAGTTCTAGTTCAGTTCTAGTTCAGTTTCTAGTTCAGTTCTAGTTCAGTTCTAGTTCAGTTCTAGTTCAGTTCTAGTTCAGTTCTAGTTCAGTTCTAGTTCAGTTCTAGTTCAGTTCTAGTTCAGTTCTAGTTCAGTTCTAGTTCAGTTCTAGTTCAGTTCTAGTTCAGTTCTAGTTCAGTTCTAGTTCAGTTCTAGTTCTAGTTCTGTTCTAGTTCTGTTCTAGTTCTGTTCTAGTTCTGTTCTAGTTCTGTTCTAGTTCTGTACTAGTTCTGTTCTAGTTCAGTTCTAGTTCAGTTCTAGTTCAGTTCTAGTTCAGTTCTAGTTCAGTTCTAGTTCAGTTCTAGTTCTGTTCTAGTTCAGTTCTAGTTCTGTTCTAGTTCTGTTCTAGTTCAGTTCTAGTTCTGTTCTAGTTCTGTTCTAGTTTTGTTCTAGTTCTGTTCTAGTTTTGTTCTAGTTTTGTTCTAGTTCAGTTCTAGTTCAGTTCTAGTTCAGTTCTAGTTCAGTTCTAGTTCAGTTCTAGTTCAGTTCTAGTTCAGTTCTAGTTCAGTTCTAGTTCAGTTCTAGTTCAGTTCTAGTTCAGTTCTAGTTCAGTTCTAGTTCAGTTCTAGTTCAGTTCTAGTTCTAGTTCTGTTCTAGTTCTGTTCTAGTTCTGTTCTAGTTCTGTTCTAGTTCTGTTCTAGTTCTGTTCTAGTTCTGTTCTAGTTCTGTTCTAGTTCAGTTCTAGTTCAGTTCTAGTTCAGTTCTAGTTCTAGTTCTAGTTCAGTCTAGTTCTAGTTCAGTTCTAGTTCAGTTCTAGTTCAGTTCTAGTTCAGTTCTAGTTCAGTTCTAGTTCAGTTCTAGTTCAGTTCTAGTTCAGTTCTAGTTCAGTTCTAGTTCAGTCTAGTTCTAGTTCTAGTTCAGTTCTAGTTCAGTTCTAGTTCAGTTCTAGTTCAGTTCTAGTTCAGTTCTAGTTCAGTTCTAGTTCTAGTTCAGTTCTAGTTCAGTTCTAGTTCTGTTCTAGTTCTGTTCTAGTTCTGTTCTAGTTCTGTTCTAGTTCTGTTCTAGTTCTGTTCTAGTTCTGTTCTAGTTCTGTTCTAGTTCTGTTCTAGTTCTGTTCTAGTTCTGTTCTAGTTCTGTTCTAGTTCTGTTCTAGTTCTGTTCTAGTTCTGTTCTAGATCTGTTCTAGTTCTGTTCTAGTTCTGTTCTAGTTCTGTTCTAGTTCTGTTCTAGTTCTGTTCTAGTTCTGTTCTAGTTCTGTTCTAGTTCTGTTCTAGTTCTAGTTCTGTTCTAGTTCTAGTTCTAGTTCTGTTCTAGTTCTGTTCTAGATCTGTTCTAGTTCTGTTCTAGTTCTGTTCTAGTTCTGTTCTAGTTCTGTTCTAGTTCTGTTCTAGTTCTGTTCTAGTCTGTTCTAGTTCAGTTCTAGTTCAGTTCTATTTCAGTTCTAGTTCAGTTCTAGTTCAGTTCTAGTTCAGTTCTAGTTCAGTTCTAGTTCAGTTCTAGTTCAGTTCTAGTTCAGTTCTAGTTCAGTTCTAGTTCAGTTCTAGTTCAGTTCTAGTTCAGTTCTAGTTCAGTTCTAGTTCAGTTCTAGTTCAGTTCTAGTTCAGTTCTATTTCAGTTCTAGTTCAGTTCTAGTTCAGTTCTAGTTCTAGTTCAGTTCTAGTTCAGTTCTAGTTCAGTTCTAGTTCAGTTCTAGTTCAGTTCTAGTTCAGTTCTAGTTCAGTTCTAGTTCAGTTCTAGTTCAGTTCTAGTTCAGTTCTAGTTCAGTTCTAGTTCAGTTCTAGTTCAGTTCTAGTTCAGTTCTAGTTCAGTTCTAGTTCAGTTCTAGTTCAGTTCTAGTTCAGTTCTAGTTCAGTTCTAGTTCAGTTCTAGTTCAGTTCTAGTTCAGTTCTAGTTCAGTTCTAGTTCAGTTCTAGTTCAGTTCTAGTTCAGTTCTAGTTCAGTTCTAGTTCAGTTCTAGTTCAGTTCTAGTTCAGTTCTAGTTCAGTTCTAGTTCAGTTCTAGTTCAGTTCTAGTTCAGTTCTAGTTCAGTTCTAGTTCAGTTTCTAGTTCAGTTCTAGTTCAGTTCTAGTTCAGTTCTAGTTCAGTTCTAGTTCAGTTCTAGTTCAGTTCTAGTTCAGTTCTAGTTCAGTTCTAGTTCAGTTCTAGTTCAGTTCTAGTTCAGTTCTAGTTCAGTTCTAGTTCAGTTCTAGTTCAGTTCTAGTTCAGTTCTAGTTCAGTTCTAGTTCAGTTCTAGTTCAGTTCTAGTTCAGTTCTAGTTCAGTTCTAGTTCAGTTCTAGTTCAGTTCTAGTTCAGTTCTAGTTCAGTTCTAGTTCAGTTCTAGTTCATTCTAGTTCAGTTCTAGTTCAGTTCTAGTTCAGTTCTAGTTCAGTTCTAGTTCAGTTCTAGTTCAGTTCTAGTTCAGTTCTAGTTCAGTTCTAGTTCAGTTCTAGTTTCTAGTAGGTCTAGTCCAGTTCTAGTTCTGTTCTAGTTCTGTTAAAGTTTGTTCCAGTTCTCTTCTAGTTCAGTTTTGGTTCTGTTCTTGTTCTGTGCTAGGTTAGTTCAAGTTTAGTTCCACATCTTTCATTAATCTTCAAAACTTACTTGTTTCTTTTAAATAGGTGTAGAGCTATTGACTGCTGCTTAAGCGGCTTCCAAAGTGGGTTAATTAAATTCTGTATTATTTGTAAAATCTTGTATAAATTATAATCTTGAAAACAGCTTCCACTGACAACCGCTCCAGCAGCAGCAACAGCTTTGCACCACAAATTTAAAAGAAATTAAAAATTATATTTTCTTTGCAAATTACTGGCGTCTGTTGCGCCTAGTAGAAGAATCACTATATCTACGTGATCCCCTTAAATGACGTTTACGATCCAAACGATTGCTTATATAAGTTGACGCACCTTTATCCAGCTCTCCTATTATTCCTCCGTGGCCACCATTGCGTTTCCTATACACCTCATCGGTGGGCTCTATATCAATGATGGAGGTAAAATAACTGGAACCCTGCGAATCGGTTTTAATATCATCCGGTTTAACACTTTTCAAGTTGAGCAAATTAAAGTGGGGAAAATTTTCAAAGGCCGTAACAATATCCATGTTATCTTGTAGAACAACCTTTTTGTCGGGATAAAAACGTGAGGGTGTCTCAACTATGGTAGCTAAATGTAGTTGGCTAGAGCCACGTTTACGATGTTCTATTAATTCCTCTAAAGTCATATTACGTTGTTCCAAAACCTTAAATAATCTATTGCCCGAACGACGATCTTCTATTAGCTCCAAAAGATCAGTACGATCGTCTACATTATCAAAATCGGGTATAATGTTGGGATTAGCTGTGGGTGTTGTGGAAGGTGTTGGAGGGGCAGTTGAACTAGTGTGGGAGTATAAGGAAGGCGTATACTGTTTCATTCTTGTAGTAATGGTGGATGTCTCAAAATATTTTGTTGTTTTGGGTTTAATAGTTTCCTCAAAGAAATTTTCCAAATCATCTTCATCATCATCGTTTTCCTCATGATCGTTTTCCTCGCCTGAAGAGGATTTCTTAAACGAATCTTCTTTTTCTATGAGATTTTTTAGCAGTGTTTCTTGTATACGTTCACGTAGATCTTCAGTATTGAGATTAAGATTAGCTTTGGGTGTTAAATTCATGGTGCTGCTGCTGGCGGTTGTTGTCGAGGTTGTGCTGGTTGTTGTCATAGGTAAAGGTGTTGTTGTAGTGGTGGTGGTTGTAGTTGTTGTTGAGGTGGTGCTGGTGCTTGTCGTAGCTGGTGTAGTGGTCGAAGTTGTGTAACGAAAAGTGGTCCTTCCTGAACCTCTGGTGCTGGTATACATTCTTCTGGTAGAGGTGGTTAAATCTCGGTTGGTGGCTTTCTCTGTTATAGGTTTTGCTGAAGTTGTGGTAGTGGAACTGGTGGTGCTGGTAGTAGTAGTGGGAGCCATAGTTGTTTCCCATTTCCAGGTAGTTGTTTCTGTAGATTCTGGCGGTTTAGTGCTAAATATCTGCATACTTGGTGGTACTACTTTCCAATCGTCTTCCTGCATTTGTTGTATTTCATCTTCCTGCTCTTTCATGTCAGCTGGTTCTTCCTCTATTTGCTCTTTACTATCCCAGGAGTTAACCACTCTATGCGGTTGGTTACTGGCCATTATAGCGGTGTTCTTTAACAAAAATGTCGGCTTCAAAGTGGGTCTTTGATGTAAGATTTTCTTGTATAAAGGTATTTTGGTGGTAGAAGGTTTTGGCGTGGTAGTGGTTGTGGTTGTGCTGGTAGTTGAGGAATATAAGCCACCTTCCCTCTTGCGTGTAGTCAAATGATCAGCTAAACCCACTTGTATGCCCGAGGGTCTTGAAGAACTGCCAAATAATTTGAGTCTATGCAAAGCGGTCAACTTGGATTTCTCCTTTGAATTATAGACATCCTCTGAACTACTTTCGCTTTGTTTATTATTGCTCGTATTCGGCTTATAGTTGGCCTTAAATGAGGGATATTTGGCATGATTTACCTTCTCCTGCGGTGAGCTGGCTGTTGTCTGTAAAGCTTGCAAAGCATTCTGTTTACCTTTAAGCAAATCATCGAGAGAAAGATTTTTCTGTTGTAGTATCTCACTCAAACTTAAGCCACCACTATTTTTTAAAATATTCTTTAAATTGGCCGAATTACGATTTACAGTGTTTCCTTCAGTAGAGCTTTCCGGTTTATTGCGCATTTCGTAGAGTTTCTGTTCTTTTTCTAAGGCTGCCAAGGGTTCTTTTATGGTGGGTTGTTTACGTCTTTTGAAAGAAGCCTGTAGAGAAGGACGCATATTTCCTTCAGGGTCTTGTTTTTTGGTGGCAGAGGTTTTCTCTTCCTTATCATCTTCGACTTGACCACGCCAATAGGGGGTTGCATTAGAGGCTGTAGGGCTGTCATCTCCCTCAGCTGTTGTTGATGATTGAGGTCTTCGTTTACGTTTGCGGTTACCAGGACGTCTTCTTTGAGCATTGCCATTGGCATATTCGGGTTGTCCTAAAGTTAAAGCCTCCGAATGGATGCCATCATCCACTACCAAAGAAGCGGCGGTTTGTAGAATCTATAAAGAAATTAATTTAAAATTTTCATTAAATAGTTAAGTTAAAAAAACTCTTTCGTCATCAATTAGTAATATTTCATTTATTGGTCCTTCCAACTTAGTTTTAAACACATTCTATTATTCCTTTTTAGTTTCTCTTTTTTCTACATTCTTAATTATTTTGTTATTATTTGCCAACTACTCTTAAAATTTAATCTTCTTATAACTATTTCTTTCTGCATAATAAGTTATCATTTTTTTTATTCAATATTTTCTTTTGACCATTTTCTTTCCCTGCTAATATTATTGTCATTATTATGATGATGAAGTCCATAATTAGTGTTGTTTACTGTAATGATTTATGTTATTTTTTCTATTTTCTCTTGCTATAACATTTTATCATAATTAAAGTGAAAATAAGTCAGGAAAAATAGAAAAAAAGGCAAAAGGTACTTGGAACTGACTTCAAAATGTTAATTATAAAATAAATATAAGTACTTAACTCACAATAAAACATATTTAATTAGTTTTGAGTTGAATTTCAGAACATGAGTCTGGTCTTTAGTGTAGTATATAGTCTAGTCTATGGTCTAGTCTATAGTTTAGTCTAGTCTATAGTTTAGACTAGCCTATAGTATAATCTAGTCTATATTTTAGTCTAGTCTATAGTCTAGTTTATAGTCTATAGTTTAGTCTAGACTATAGTCTAGTCTAGTCTAGTCTATAGTCTAGTTTATAGTCTGTAGTTTAGTCTAGACCAGTCACGAGCAAAACTGAAATTCTAATGCACGCGTGCATAGGCCAAGAAATTCTGCTGACGCTTTGTTGACACACCTACACTATAAGCTTGTGTGTATTAGTGTGTCTGTGTTTTACTAAAATGACCACTTGTTTGTTGCTTTGTTACGATCTCAGAGATCAAAATCAAATCAGTTGCTGCTCAGCTTTTGTAGAAGCAAGATCACGTTGCGGATTTTTTTATGCTTATGATTTTTTCTCTTTTATTACACCTAGCAAAATGTTTGATATAAATTGGGAAAATGATTTCTTTTTTATAGGAAACATGGACGGTGAGGCACAATGCGTCGTATGTTATAAAATTATATGTAGAAAAGCTTTATTTTTTTTGAAAAGGCATTATGAAACTTGCCATGGACCCTTAAATGACCTTAGGGGACATGACAGAAAAGTAAAGTTGTTGCAATTAAAAGGTTAACCGATCAACACATTGGTGACTTATTGCGTATTAACGAATATAAAGGAAATATTGATTTGGATAGATTAGTTGAACTTTAAATTAAGTTCAGTTTATATCTCGGTAATATCCCTTAAAAGTTCGAAATCGAATAGAAAGTCGTGATTTTCTTAATGATATTTCAGTAGTTTTATTTAATACTACTTTTTAAAAATACTACTACTTTTCTTAAATGAAAAACTCTTTCCCTTTATTCCATTTTTGTTTAAAATGCCCAAAAGTTCATGAGTTTTTCTCGTCGTAAAAAGTATTTGCAATAGAAAACAAATTTCAAAACTTTTCTCAGTGTACCACCATTTTGTTATAACGTGCAGTCATCTCTCTGCTGCTTAACGCACACAAATATACACATGGTGGTATGTGTTTGCCCATGACTGGTCTAGACTATAGTCTAGTCTGTAGTCTATTCTATAGTCTAGTCTGTAGTCTAGTCTATAGTCTATAGTCCAGTCTGTAGTCTATTCTATAGTCTAGTCTATAGTCTAGTCTATAGTCTATTCTATAGTCTAGTCTATAGTCTAGTCTATAGTCTAGTCTATAGTCTAGTCTATAGTCTATTCTATAGTCTAGTCTATAGTCTAGTCTATAGTCTAGTCTATAGTCGTCTATAGTCTAGTCTATAGTCTAGTCTATAGTCTAGTCTATAGTCTAGTCTATAGTCTAGTCTATAGTCTAGTCTATAGTCTAGTCTATAGTCTAGTCTATAGTCTAGTCTATAGTCTAGTCTATAGTCTAGTCTATAGTCTAGTCTATGTTAGTCTATAGTCTAGTCTAAGTCTAGTCTATAGTACTAGTCTATAGTCTAGTCTATAGTCTAGTCTATAGTCTAGTCTATAGTCTAGTCTATAGTTAGTCTATAGTCGTCTATAGTCTAGTCTATAGTCTAGTCTATAGTCTAGTCTATAGTCTAGTCTATAGTCTAGTCTATAGTCTAGTCTATAGTCTAGTCTATAGTCTAGTCTATAGTCTAGTCTATAGTCTAGTCTATAGTCTAGTCTATAGTCTAGTCTATAGTCTAGTCTATAGTCTAGTCTATGTCTCGTCTATAGTCTAGTCTATAGTCTAGTCTATAGTCTAGTCTATAGTCTAGTCTATATTCTAGTTCTTATAGTCTAGTCTATAGTTCAGTCTATAGTCTAGTCCTATAGCTTAGTCTATAGTCTAGTCTATAGTCTAGTCATAGTCTAGTCTATAGTCTAGTCTATAGTCTAGTCTATAGTCTAGTCTATAGTCTAGTCTATAGTCTAGTCTATAGTCTAGTCTATAGTCTAGTCTCTAGTCTAGTCTATAGTCTAGTCTATAGTCTAGTCTATAGTCTAGTCTATAGTCTAGTCTATAGTCTAGTCTATAGTCTAGTCTATAGTCTAGTCTATAGTCTAGTCTATAGTCTAGTCTATAGTCTAGTCTATAGTCTAGTCTATAGTCTAGTCTATAGTCTAGTCTATAGTCTAGTCTATAGTCTAGTCTATAGTCTAGTCTATAGTCTAGTCTATAGTCTAGTCTATAGTCTAGTCTATAGTCTAGTCTAGACTATAGACTAGTCTAATCTATAGTCTAGTCTATAGTCTAGTCTATAGTCTAGTCTAGTCTAGTCTATAGTCTAGTCTATAGTCTAGTCTATAGTCTAGTCTATAGTCTAGTCTATAGTCTAGTCTATAGTCTAGTCTATAGTCTAGTCTATAGTCTAGTCTATAGTCTAGTCTATAGTCTAGTCTATAGTCTAGTCTATAGTCTAGTCTATAGTCTAGTCTATAGTCTAGTCTATAGTCTAGTCTATAGTCTAGTCTATAGTCTAGTCTATAGTCTAGTCTATAGTCTAGTCTATAGTCTAGTCTATAGTCTAGTCTATAGTCTAGTCTATAGTCTAGTCTATAGTCTAGTCTATAGTCTAGTCTATAGTCTAGTCTAGTCTAGTCTATAGTCTAGTCTATAGTCTAGTCTATAGTCTAGTCTATAGTCTAGTCTATAGTCTAGTCTATAGTCTAGTCTATAGTCTAGTCTAGTCTAGTCTATAATCTAGTCTATAGTCTAGTCTATAGTCTAGTCTATAGTCTAGTCTATAGTCTAGTCTATAGTCTAGTCTATAGTCTAGTCTATAGTCTAGTCTATACTCTAGTCTATAGTCTAGTCTATAGTCTAGTCTATAGTCTAGTCTATACTCTAGTCTATAGTCTAGTCTATAGTCTATCTAGTCTATAGTCTAGTCTATACTCTAGTCTATAGTCTAGTCTATAGTCTAGTCTATAGTCTAGTCTATAGTCTAGTCTATAGTCTAGTCTATAGTCTAGTCTATAGTCTAGTCTATAGTCTAGTCTATAGTCTAGTCTAGTCTAGTCTATAGTCTAGTCTATAGTCTAGTCTATAGTCTAGTCTATAGTCTAGTTTATAGTCTAGTCTATAGTCTATTCTATAGTCTAGTCTATAGTCTAGTCTATAGTCTAGTCTATAGTCTAGTCTATAGTCAAGTCTATAGTCAAGTCTATAGTCTAGTCTATAGTCTAGTCTATAGTCTAGTCTATAGTCTAGTCTATAGTCTAGTCTATAGTCTAGTCTATAGTCTAGTCTATAGTCTAGTCTATAGTCTAGTCTATAGTCTAGTCTATAGTCTAGTCTATAGTCTAGTCTATAGTCTAGTCTATAGTCTAGTCTATAGTCTAGTCTATAGTCTAGTCTATAGTCTAGTCTATAATCTAGTCTATAGTCTAGTCTATAGCCTAGTCTATAGTCTAGTCTATAGTCTAGTCTATAGTCTAGTCCATAGTCTAGTCTATAGTCTAGTCTATAGTCTAGTCTATAGTGTAGTCTATAGTCTAGTCTATAGTGTAGTCTATAGTGTAGTCTATAGTGTAGTCTATAGTCTAGTCTATAGTCTAGTCTATAGTCTAGTCTATAGTCTAGTCTATAGTCTAGTCTATAGTCTAGTCTATAGTCTAGTCTATAGTCTAGTCTATAGTCTATAGTCTAGTCTATAGTCTAGTCTATAGTCTGTAGTCTAGTCTATAGTCTAGTATATAGTCTAGTCTCTAGTCTAGTTTCTAATCTAGTCTTTAGTGTAGTCCCTAGTCTAGTCTCTTGTCTAGTCCATAGTCTTTTTAGCCCCAAATAAATGATCTGAAAATTGTTAGAAACTAGTCTTCTGTTTATACAATTTTAAATTAATTATTTTATTTTTAACCCAGAGTGTAATTACTTCATGCAAAGTCCTCTTTACACTTGAAAGTACTTTCGTGGTGTCTCCAATTTTTCTTATATCGTGGTTATTAACAATTTGTATAAAATTGTGATTATTTAATTTCCTTTTCTTACGCTTCGTTGTTTTCGAATGTTATTTTCTTCGTGATTTTTTTTTTTATAATTTCTTCACCCTTGTCTATTACATTTTTAACGTAGAGTGGTATTTTTTTGCAAGTAATTTGAAAAAGGAGCAGATAAAATTGCAAAACTAACTAAATTTTGTGATTGCAAAAGAGCAGAAGAAAATACTTGAGTTACTAGAAAATATTTTAACTATCACCACTAATAACCATGCTACTACAACATTCATTTAAGACTTCAATTACTGAAAAATATAACGAGTTCAGTGTTTTATAGTAGGAGAACTACTACGATGGAGCAGTGTAGTGAAAAGAGGTCAGTTATTAAAAGGAATGAATTCATTTTGTTGGAACAAATTTTACGAAGTACCTTAATTGCAATTCAATTTATCAAGGATCCACGGTGTCACAACCGATGTTCTTTAATGTCTAGAGAATTCTAGAACCAATAT